GAATAATTAATTAAACGCGTTATTGCGTTACTTGCAAACGTTGCCGATGTGATGTTGATGTTGATGATCAAACAAAACGGTTTAACTATTTTATTACGAATTTTGAAGTTTCGAATTGAACTCTCTGTTAAGCATTTGCGGGTTACGGCAAATATTCGGGCTATGGATGTGTGATATATATGGCCGGGTACATCGTTGCAACGCGATATATTCACGTGCAGACGATGTCATCGGGGCACTGTCGGCAAACTGGCGCGCTTCAAAATTTTCTTCGCGACAATATTCGTTTGAGTGGCCACACCTACGTCACTTCAGTGTCGTCCAGAGTTTGAAGCGGGACTGACATACTTGTGTTTTTGTACAGTATGGAGTGGAATAACAAAAACTGCTTCCTCCATCGTCTCGGCCGCACAACTAAACAACGAATATTCGCCGTAGGCCGCTTTCTAAATCTTCGCCTATCAATGAACAACATCGTGTATGTCCGAGAATCGATGTTTTGCGCGCCAAGCCGATACGAATCTTCGCCTGCTAATGTGTAGCCCCAGCATAAAAACTTTCAACTACAACGGTAGTGAAAAATGGCTATCCTTTTATGTAAGGAACAGACAAGGTTGATATTGCGATTTCAATGTTAAGCTTGCAATTTGGATATGAAGACATTAGACAACACGTTATTACCAACAACATATGAATAACTAAAGTACTCATACATACTTTAGTTCACACATTTAGAATTCAGCACTAGAATCCATTAGGCAATGCTTTTAGTATTATCTGTAGTAAAACGCCGTTTCCCAGTGTTGAGTAATTTGTCTCAAGTTTCGCATTGTAGGTACGCAGCGACTTTGTAACTGAAAACAATGCTTTCTCTTAAACACACGCGGGAGAGGAATCGCAGATTCACTTAAAGTGATTCCTATGGATATTTGAGTACCTGATTACTTTCGAACTAATACATAAATTGGATTAGATAATTCTTTAAGGTCGTGTTCGTTGTTGTAAGGACAAGGTTTATATGAATAATTTTTTTTATGGAATATGAGGCAAACGAGCAGACGGATCACCTGATGGTAATCGATCAGCGCCGCCCATGCACACACGCAACACCGGAAGAATCACATGTGCGTTGCCGGCCTTTTAAAATGGGAATACGCTCTTTTCTTGAACGTTTGAAAGTCCAGACGACGACGACAGATCATTTCACAGTTTTGTAGTGCGAGGCAGAAAGCTATATGTATATGTTTAAGTACAGCGGGCCCAGTGGTAAAGCTAACTGGCCGATGGCATTATAACACAAACATCGACTGATAAAATCTTCACAAAGAACAACTCGTGCGATCCAGATTATCTGTCTCGATAAAAGTGTTCATAAACATACTCACGAACGACATAGAAGAAAATTCTAACTTACTTTGATTTCTATAATCTACTTAAAAGGTTCCTATAATAAGTTAAATACCGCAAGCAGTGCTAATGGGATCATGGAGAAACCTTAGTATTTATACCTAGGCAGGTAGAGGTCAGATGACAAACGCAAAATGTGACGATAGCGTGCCTAAGAGTGATCATAATATAATGCTGACAGACATACAGACAAATAGAATTGAACTTCAATGTAAGGCTATAACTATACAAAGCCATTTTATCATAGTTTCGTTTTGTATTAATCTTCCGCACATTCGACAGCCATTTTATACTGTTTCTGCAGAGCTTGATGTGTAATAATGTAGTAAGGATTAATGTCGTAAGTATTGCCTTCTCCATCTTTCTTGACGGCATCAACCTGGTGCACCTTGGGTCTCCAGAGAACAATTTTCTTATTTTCACAGTACCTCGTCTCTTCCAGGGACACGAGGACGATAGCACGTCTGTTTTTCTGTTGATAACAATATGGTTTTAATTGGCTTCATTAGGAGTAAGAGGTAAATTGCGAATTTTATGCCTAAAGGACCGATAAGATTGAGTCATTGAGGATATTTTATAAGTTATTTATTTGTAAGTTAATTGTTAGATATTATTATTTATAATACGTGTTATTACAGCCTTGAATGTCAGTATATCACTATATGACTGCACGGTTGGTGCGGTGGCTGGGCAACCGGCTGCCGTGCAACGTGTCGCGGGTTCGATTCCCGCACGGGACAACACTTTGTGTGATCCACAAATTGTTGTTTCGGGTCTGGGTGTCATTGTATGTGAACTTGTATGTTTGTAAACGCACCCACGACACAGGAGACAATCCTAGTGTGGGGCAACGTTTTTTTTTTAAAAAAAAAACATCAATACATAGTATAAAACAAAGTCGCTTTCGCTGTATGTCCGTATGTATGCTTAGATCTTTAAAACTACGCAACGGATTTTGATGCGGTTTTTTTTAAAAGATAGAGTGATTCTTAAGTAAGGTTTGTATGTATAATACATGCATATTTCACTGCGAAGCAGGGCGGGTCGCTTGTGAGACATAATAGAAAACACATTGTGCCTCGCGTAGATACATACCACAATACCACGGGTTAAACTACTTTGCAAATGCAGTCACTAGTAAACTTACACCTTTCTGTCAAATATCTTTTATCTTTATTACATTTTCAACTTTATTGTTTTTACATTAAGTCGAAATAACGAAAGAAATCTGATTAGCACTGTACCTAAGTACCGAAGTATGTCTTAAAAAATACTAGGATGATATGATAAAATGTACAAATCGCATATAGACATTTGTACTCGTTGTGATTCTTTCGAATGATCTAAGAATCTAGGTCAGGTCATTCTATTTGTCTCCATAACTAACTTTGAATAATCGCGGAGGAGTTCTAGATATATGGCTCTTTACTATTCATGCCTCATGTTTTTCATTATCGAGCGTACAAGACATTTTGGTCACGTTCCGCTTTGAGTATAAATATCCGTATGGACTTAATTGGAATTTCCTAAATTAATTGGAATCATAATCGAATTTTGGAGTCTCAATAACTTTTTATAGCGAATGTTAGTAAACAAGAATTTCTAAATATAATTAATTGTTGACTATCGAGTATAACATCTTAGGTTTGGTTTTCTATTTAGACATAATATTATTGGATTAATAAGACCAAAGTTAAAGGCCAGTTGGAATTGATTAGAAATTATAATATATTTGACATCATTGTTATTTGTCATCTGTTCTAGAACTATTCTGCTAAACAACAGCTGATTGCGAGTTAAAAATTCAAAAGAGATAGTGGCTAAACGTCTACCCATCAAATATGAAAAAAACTTCTTCATTTCATTGTTATGTTTAAATATAAATTTACGCCTTTATCCCCGATGGAGTACGCAGATGTGCACATTACGGCACTTAATACCACTGAACAATGTAACATCCACTTTTCACTATTTTATGTTATGAGTCCCATGTAATAGGGGGTAGAGACTATTGTCATATACCGGCCACGTTTCCAGACACCGTGGTGAGGTTTTTCGAAAAACCCTAGTAATACTTTGCACAACTCGGAAATCGAACCCGAGACCCCTTACCCGGCAGTCGCACTTGTGACCACTCGGCCAACGAGGCAGTCCCCCATTGTGTTATATAACCATAATATATATGTATTTAATAACAAAAACAGTGTGTCCTCGTTTAGGCACACAATATTATCGGTCATATCATTGTCCTAGCCAGCACTAATTAGCTGTTTACGTGTCACGCAACGTGATTACAATAGCTACAGATTTGACAACCGATGTGTGTGACGTCACTACACATTATACTGGAAGGACGGTCACGGGATTTAACAGTTATAATATACAGGCTGTATATATATTTAAACAGGTTCTGTAACTGGAAAATGTTATATTAAATTTGTACCTAACTATCATTCCGTGCCTCCGTGGTCAAGTTGAGTGGTCACGTATTTTACTTCTGAACTTTAAGTTAAAAAAATATTCATTGAGATTTTTTACATTAACTTTACTATGCTTTCTTCCCTTGCGAGAAATAACAGGCATCTTCTCGATGGTGTTTTATACAGGCTGATCTTTTAGAACAAATTTTATTAATTAGTATGACAGGGTATGAAAATTAAAAATCTAATTAGTCCGTAAGTTAGGTAATGTAACAATATTAGACACATATTTTTTTATTTTGTTGTATAATAAAATAACTAATACTTAGATAAAACGAATCAAAGCTTAGGAGTGACGGCTAAAACGTCATTTCTACGTTTAAAATGTACATAGAAGTGACGTCACGTGACATTTCAAATCAATATATCGTCGAAAGTATTCGTTTCTGTAAGAAAATAAAAAATACGTGTCTAATGATTTAAAATAATCTACCAGATGGTCATTAAAATAAAAATTAGGCATCTACCCTATTTTATTTACTATCAGTTATTAATGATGCTTGCAAATAAGGGCTTGTACCATCAAAATATCACTGCGTGCTCCTAAAAAGATATTAACGAGCCTGTCAACTGAACAATTAAGTTGACAACTCGATGTCAGCGTAATTTCATTATGTTAACGCGTTGCATGACGTGATATTGACATATTTTCGGTTCAAAATCTTTCATATTAAATATTATAGTAGAAAATGTTATTTCGTCGCTGTTTACCTATATTCTAACGTCGTAAATTTAGATAGAAACTAAATTATTTCTGTCGCGAACACTAAATTTTAGGTACAATATCAGTATACACGCTACACTTACTAACATAGCGGCTATCTTCGAAGTTGGATAGTGTTTACTTTATAGCCTTTTGTTTATTAATACCATGCACAAGTTTCTACACAAAGAGTAAAATTTAATATAGGTAGGACGAAGTTACTTCATTATGATTTTGCCTATAAAAAGATATTAGATATTAATTTTTAATCCTTTTCCTACCACCTTAAACCTCTAGTTCTACTACCTCTACAGTTAAACAAAGTATGCTTTTTATTAACTTTGGCAATAAAAAAAACATTAATACATTTTATAGCACCTACTAATATATTCTTCTATCGTTTTTTGCAGGAGTCTCCCTCGTGTACATATTGGTGGTACTCCCAGGGTTGCTTCCTTGGCGAAGTGGGCCTGGCGCCTGGTTCCTATCAATGTGCCACCTCCTTGGAGCCCTGGCGCCCTGGTGCGGCTCCTTCCTCTACCACCTCTTCATGAACCACACGCGCGGGGAAGAGCTGTACCATCGGCTGCTGCAACTCGACATGCTTGGCATATGGGTCAGTCAGAGCATAGGTAAGTCATAGTTTCATTAGTAATTGAGCTGTTTTTAATAAACTTAAATTCGTAAATATTACGGACCACGGTTGTATACCTGGCTCTGTTATAGCTAAGTGATCCATAATAAAACTTGTTGTCCAGTTCAAGAGTTTAAAGATGATTAAGATCTTGAATTGTGAACCAAATGTAATCAAGGAAAATAGTATTTTAAGTACTATTAATGGTGTTTGTTTGGGAAAGAAAACTTTCTTACTTAAAACGTAATTGATAATGTTGTGGTGTCTGGTAAAAGTATTCACTTATCGGTATACGTAATTTAATCGTAAGAAAATTCATACTACATATATTTCCCTAGATAGTCTTGCTCACCCAAACCCAGATATTCCGGGAAATCGATTCACAAAATTCTATTTGTAGAAGGACAAGAATGAGATTATCTCCATCAGAATATTTGATCCGAAAAATGCTAATGAATAAGTTTGTTGAACGTTTCGAGGAACTGATAACTTTCGGAGATCTAATTTGAGATCCAAGATACTAAGTATAGAAATAGAATACACGGATTTAATATTAACGTGGGTTCAGTGGAGCATGGGGTACGAAAATAACCAATGGAGATTCATTGGCTTAATATACCTCGATTATCTATCCTGATATTGGAAATTCCTATTCAGTGGTTATATCTGTACACATTCTACAAGCAATATATTATTTGTGAGTATTTCTATCATTCATATCATTGTGTTCATCCATTGCCGCGAAATTCATGAACGGAATATGTCAGTCGAATATACGATTGTGTTCATTTTACGAGTAATGAGTTTCGATGGTATTAAATCATGCAGATATATTTGAATACAACTAAATAAGAACTAATCGTAGTTTTAATTACTGAGTCAATAAAAATGTAAACAGTTTTCTTACACTATTAGAAGTAAAGTGAAGATTTTTAAGACTTTTAAATTCAAAATGTTAACAAAATCTAAATGTTAAAGCATTCAATCGACCCGAATAACTTCATTAGACGTCAATTTAGTATGAAGCCTCATATTAACATAGAATTTAAATATTATTCCTGAGTTAGACAGGTTTATCTGTCCGTTAGTATCTGCCCACTGGATGTCAGGTACAGCTTATAGTCCTACGCTTTTATCATCCACTTGAGCAAGCACCCTGTGTAACACGAGTGTCGCTTCAGATGACAAATACATAATATTATTGACTTGAATTGTGATTAGCGTATAAATATTGATGTTGGCTGAATTTGACATATTTTTTCCTTATTTTCTGCACTAGTTATTATAAGAAACCATATAAAAATGTTTCGTATAAAGTTTCGATATTTTTCACGCAGTTTTGACAGCTTGTCACAAAAGTATGTGTTAATGAGGTAGATAATTAGTTTTTCGAAAGTAAAGTCTTTAATTTTATACACTAGCGACGTCTCATTATGTTAATTTCTTGGGTAACAAAAGTGTGCAAATATAAATGAGAGAAAATGTTACATTTGTGCTTGAAAGCGCAAATATAACGACTGTACTGGTACACATAACAGGAAAATTAGACTGAAATCAACCAGGTGAATATTACTAAAAATTTTACACGACTACGGTAGGTAACAATATACTTATGTACCTACTCTGTTATGTAGGTACTTATGTACAGAGATGTTCTGAGACACACTGAAATTACGTTTCTCACAGCGCTTCTTGTATTCGTCAATATTTGTATTTTTAAACTAAAATTTTACTTTTATACGTGGTTGACATAAAGTTTATTTTTGTTTAACATGATTGTATTAGAAACAGAGTTATACTAACAGCAGTTAAAATGAATAATTTCCAACATTTCATAAACCCATGAAGACTTATAAAACTCACTCATAAATTAAAAAAAACATTATTCCACAACTATTAAATCAGAAACAAAGTCTCATTTGTAGGTGAGAGACAAAGTTATTCGAGTGAAACAGGATCACATTACAAAGTTCAGACAGAACAGAGGAAGCAACGAAGCGAAATATTTTAATATCCAGTACCAAGTGTTATACAACATCTTCATTTGTTTAATCAAATTTAACTTTCAACTTTCTCTTGGGGCCTGTCACACATTTTCCAAAGTTAGACTTGAAGCTAGATTGTTAAAGAAAATCTTTCACAATGAATTCACGTCAACCTTTTTGTTACAATGCAATTTAGCGCTTTAGGGAGACAAGTTTTACAGCGATTGAAGCGCTTTTACGCGACGCGACGGTCAGTCAACGTCGAGTGTGGATGACGTTAAAAAATGTTAGTTAAAGCTTGATATAAAAACGTTCTATGCTTGAATTATTTGAAAAATGTAAAGAAGGTTTCTTATAAATAATAAGAATGAGGAAAGGCAAGTTATAAATCTCTGTAGGCACGTATATGTGATTTGGAAACTTTAAAGATATGATTGACAACATAGAACCAAGACCTGTGGTGTTCTGTGGTGGATATATGCCTTTAAAAATATTCGCCAAATAATTGGAACGCCCCACTTTTGACTGGATATTTTAATTAAAGGTAAGCAAACCATATTCCAAGCATTTGTTTGGACGGCTAATTTTAAAAGATTTAATGTCTCTTTTATAGAGAGTACAGAGAGTTGTGTGTTTAGTTCATTCTAGACACGTAACGCAATTAGTCACCGAGTCGTCGAGTCACGCGACTGTTATTACACACACGTGGTGGGAGGGTTCAATTCCATGCCTTTTGTTTTAACGCTTTTTATGTGGAATAATAGTTAAAAGTACTGGTTAGCATTATGTGGTTTTTATATAAGTTCTGTATGTGATAAATCGATGTGAATAATTATATATTTATGTTAAGCTTATGAGAATATAATTCAAAATAATGGCACAATCCGCAACTTCTATCTACTTTATGTATTAAAAAAATGATCCTTAAATGTTAGCGCAAAATTAGAAAACGGCTAAACTAATCAAGCAGTCTTTTATTCAAATGAGTAATGGAGACCAAGGAAGATTCTTTTTCAGATTTTATTTAATCAAAATTTGAAGGTTTTTCCAAATTAACAAGTCCACAGACAAGTAATACAAAGAGATGCTTGGGAAAGCATGCAAAGTGAAGGAGGTCGTTACTCGATAGATGTCGCCACTTGAGAGCGGGTCCACGCTGCCTACAATGCAATTCTAATGAGTCAGTGGAGGCAGCTGTAATTGCTTCACCGCATCGCAACTTTTTAAATGAATTCCAATATAGATAGATCATTAACTGACATTGTTTTTGATTTTGGTTGAAATATTTTTTTGAAATCTAAAAATGAGTATTCGCGATTAGCTTTAACTCGTCGAGTACCGGTTTTGCAGACACAATTATAGAACAATAGGTTGCGGTCACCGGTGACCGCTTGGTATTTGACAGTTTAATACCCTGGAATCTGCTTTCGACCACAATCAGTGCGACCTGATTAAAAATTCAATATAATGCGACGCGGACATCTACAAAGATGTAAAGTTAAGAATATTAATAAACACATAGATTAAAAAACTTAAAACACGCTTTTAATTATTATTGTAATGCTTCGTTATCAGTCACAAGAAATGGACATATCCAATATGCTCAAACTTGACAGCTGGGCACCTAACGTACAAAATAAAAACAAATGACAAATCAGTGACGTCAGAAATATACCGCGTTCTCTTTCTAAATCCAAATTATGGCCGCCTTTAGAACATTGCAAAATAAATCAAATCAAATCAAATCAAATCGTCTTTATTGTGGACTATAGGTATGCATCAGAAATACAGGTCTTAAATAATAAAAAAGTACAGCTATGTCCCGCCATTGAGGCATACAATAATAATATACAAAACAGAATTTAAAACACAATTAGTCATAATGTTTAGTCTCGATACAATTTTAAAATACCTCAAATACATACAAATTCAATATAAAGTCATATAATAGTTAATACATTTTACTCAAATAATTGTGTCATTCATGTACTCGGTGACACTATAGTAGACCTTTTGCAATAAAAATAGTCTAAGCCTTCGTTTAATATCTTGTGCACTTAGTTCTTTCCAAGATTTCGGCAATTTATTGTATACAATAGGTGCCATACAAAATACATTTCTACGCATAAGCGCAGTCCTACAAGGTTGCAGACAAAGTTTTGTATAGTCACGTCTGTTGCGTGGTGTCACATCATCTAAACGCGGAAATAAATGAGAGTTACATTTCACAAACATTACAATATTGAGAATGTATAGTGATGGCAAAGTAAGGATCCTGAACTGTCCAAAATACGGCTTGCAGCTATCAGTAACTTTCAGTCTAAACATTGATCTGAGGCATCTTTTTTGTGCTTTAAAGACCGTTTCCCATTCTACAGAGTTACCCCAAAAGATTATTCCGTATCTGAGAATTGATTCGGCTATTCCGTAGTACGCAGTTAATAATGTGTCTGTATTCAGTGTTTGTGACAATCGATGTAAAACATATGCTCTATTACTTAGCTGTTTTGCAAGTTTCTCTAAATGTGCCTTCCAGTTTAGATTTTGGTCTATTGTTAAACCTAAGAATTTTGTCATAGTCACAGATTGAATAATATTATTTTTATATTTAATGTCAGTATTATTTGATGTATTTGGTCTTTGACTGAAGTGCATTATAACAGTTTTATTTAAATTAATTTTAAGGTTGTTATTATTTAACCAGTCAACGGCATTCATTAAACTATTATTTATGTCATCGTTATATTGTTCTTTTTTATTACACGGAATTGTTATGGTGCTATCATCCGCGAAAAGCGTCATGGTATGTTCTATGCTTTTTGGGAAATCATTTATGTAAATTATAAATAAAAGAGGGCCTAGAACACTTCCCTGTGGAACGCCATACGTAACCTGACGTTCCTCTGACACATATATTTCCTCTCGTTTATTTATGTTATTGAGTCTACTAATAACTGTGATTTGCCTTCTATTTTCCAAATATGACTTTAAAAGACCCTGTATATTTCCTCGA